TTCGATTTATTTAAATAATTTTGTTTAGTTTCATTCATTAAATTTGTTTAATTCATTTTTGGAGCTGATTTTGTTTCATTCATTTGTTTTTTAAGTCCATTCGAATTGCCATGTATCTTGCAAATCGCATGGCAAGTCGCACCCTATTGTCCGCAATTACAGCGGTCATATCGGTGCGATTCCGACTTGGTCGGAGCCACAACAATCTCTAAAGTAGCGCTTTAGGTGCAACTCGCATAGACGTCTGTGTCTTCCAAGCCGCAGATATCTTGCAAGTCGCACCTGAAGTTGCAATACCATCTGACTTTGAAACTTCCAGTGAAGTTACACAAAGTCGGATCGGTGGTACCGGGGTGTTACAGTAGAGTGTGTACGGCTCGGTTCACACCTATGCAGTTTGCGTTGGATCCGTTTCTGCAGTGCGTTTTTGCCACTTTTTTTGGTGCATTTTGCCTTTTTTTTCTTGTTGCTAGGCGGAGTAAAATGCAAAACGCATCAAAAACGCACTGCATGCTTTTCTGCAGCGTTTCCATTGAAGTCTATAGAACCAAAAACGCAACGTTTTCCGTTTAAAAGAGTCCCTGACTCTTTCCAAAAAAACGCAGCGGGTGAAAACGCCGAGATGTAAACGTGTCCCATAGGAAATCGTGTTACATGGACTGTCGTGCGGTTCTGCAAAACGCTGCGGAAAACGCTTAGTTCTGACCCCGGGGTAAAAGCTGTTTAGAGGAACCAATCCAGCCATCAGGTGGGGGACCCCGGCGAGGTGAGAACATGTCAGCGGGTTGCTCTGTATCTCCCGGTTCTTGGTTATGATTTGGTTCTCATTATGCGATTATGTTCATTCTCCATGCCGGCAGAGCACACGGAACATCGCATTGGAGGCCTTCCTTATTAAGCCCAATAGCTTCGATGGACTAACCTGCACAGCCTACCAGAGGAAGGAAGGCGGGCGAGGCGGCCACAAGCCGGACCGAGAGAGGAAGGAGCAAGACGCCCACCTACAGACTGACCAGAGGCTGAAGCTCCGATGTACCACCGGGCAAACCAACGTCTCCTTGGCAAACTTCCACATCAAGGTACCTGCTGAATGTAACTGCAAATCTTCAACCCGAGTCCAACCGTAGTCCCATAGTGGTGACTGGTGACCTTCCTCTCACGTCCGGTTATAGAGAGTTCCCGGGATGGATATCTGTAGTTACATTGGTTCGGTTTGATAAAATGTAACAATGTACACTATGTTGCCGCAGGTATTGGGCTGCCGGCCTTTCCACACACATGACCTTTAATGGCCCCCCCAGTCTTAGTCCATAGGGTTCAATATTGAGTTGGCCCTGCCCTTTCCACACACATGACCTTTAATGGCCCCCAGTCTTAGTCCATAGGGTTCAATATTGAGTTGGCCCCCCCTTTTCCCTCGCGCATGACCTTTAATGGCCTCCCAGTCTTAGTCCGTAGGGTTCAATATTGAGTTGGCCCCGCCCTTTCCACACACATGACCTTTCATGGCCTCCCAGTCTTAGTCCGTAAGGTTCAATATTGAGTTAGCCCCACCCTTTCCACACACATGACCTTTAATGGCCTCCCAGTCTTAGTCCGTAGGGTTCAATATTGAGTTGGCCCTGCCCTTTGCAGCTATAACAGCTTCAACTTCTGGGAAGGCCGCCCACAAGGTTTAGGAGAACCCTACGGACTAAGACTGGGGGGCCATTAAAGGTCATGTGTGTGGAAAGGGCGGGACCAACTCAATATTGAACCCTACGGACTAAGACTGGGAGGCCATTAAAGGTCATGTGTGTGGAAAGGCCGGCAACCAATACTTTTGGCATTATAGTGTATGTCTTGCTTCCAAAATCAGGACTCAAGTCACTTCACTGTGAGGAATGATTTTTGGGGGAGTATAACATTGTATACTAAAGCTGTAAAGCGTTGACCGAATGGTTGTAAAATGGAATTTCTCTAAATTTGATTGATCAGAGTTCTATGTGAAACGCGTTGCCTGATCCTTGTCTAGCCCATACCATGAATGAAACCAAGTTTCCTTTTCCTTTCAGAACAGCCTGGCCCTGGCCTCCGTCCAGCTTCCTCCCAGCCTCTTTGCTTCATCCTCATCTCCAGCCTGCAAGCTGCAGGTCCTGGCCTTCAGGAATGGGAAGCTGTTTAGGAGCGTTGGGAATTCCTCTCGGCTGGCGGAAGATGGGAAGAGAAGAAGCATTTCCACTCCTGTCATCTTTGTGGGGACAGGTAACTAAATAGCGAGAATGAAATATAAAAAAGGGATTGAAGGCCAAGGGAGAATGTTGCTCTTAGCGAGGGTTTCATCTCTTAAACCTAACGATTCCAGACCAGGGATGAGCCCAGGATCCAAGTTCCAACCCACCTGATCTATCCCCCCAGAAATCTGTCATGGTGGACAATCGCCAGTGGCCCAGGCATTCCCACACATATACACGCCGCTTCTATATGTGCAGCTGTGCTGTGGGGACCCTGCATTCACTATATCCGCTCTCCCCCCCGACCCCCCCGCATTCACTATATCCTCTCTCTCCCCGGACCCCGCATTCACTATATCCGCTCTCCCCGGACCCCGCATTCACTATATCCGCTCTCCCCGGACCCCGCATTCACTATATCCTCTCTCCCCAGACCCTGCATTCACTATATCCGCTCTCCCCGGACCCCGCATTCACTATATCCTCTCTCCCCAGACCCTGCATTCACTATATCCGCTCTCCCCGGACCCCGCATTCACTATATCCTATCTCCCCGGACCCCGCATTCACTATATCCGCTCTCCCCGGACCCCGCATTCACTATATCCGCTCTCCCTGGACCCCGCATTCACTATATCCGCTCTCCCTGGACCCCGCATTCACTATATCCGCTCTCCCCTGGACCCCGCATTCACTATACCCGCTCTCCGTGGACCCCGCATTCACTATATCCGCTCTCCCCGTATCCCGCATTCACTATATCCGCTCTCCCCGGACCCCGCATTCACTATATCCGCTCTCCCGGACCCCGCATTCATTATATCCGCTCTCCCTGGACCCCGCATTCACTATATCCGCTCTCCCCCGGATCCCGCATTCACTATACCCGCTCTCCGTGGACCCCGCATTCACTATATACGCTCTCCCCAGACCCCGCATTCACTATATCCGCTCTCCCCGGACCCCGCATTCACTATATCCGCTCTCCCTGGACCCCGCATTCACTTTACCCGCTCTCCCCGACCCCGCATTCACTATATCTGCTCTCCGTGGACCCCGCATTCACTATATCCGCCCTCCCCTTACTCCACATTCACTATATCCGCTCTCCCCCCGGACCCCGCATTCACTATATCCGTTCTCCCCGGACCCCGCATTCACTATATCCGCTCTCCCCGGACCCCGCATTCATTATATCCGCTCTCCTCGACCCCGCGTTCACTATATCCGCTCTCCCCGGACCCCGCATTCACTATATCCGCCCTCCCCTTACTCCACATTCACTATATCCGCTCTCCCAGGACCCCGCATTCCCTATATCCGCTCTCCCCGGACCCCGCATTCACTATATCCGCTCTCCCCCGACCCCGCATTCACTATATCCGCTCTCCCCGGACCCCGCATTCACTATATCCGCTCTCCCCTTACTCCACATTCACTATATCCGCTCTCCCAGGACCCCGCATTCCCTATATCCGCTCTCTCCCCGGACCCCGCATTCACTATATCCGCTCTCCCCGGACCCCGCATTCACTATATCCGCTCTCCCCGGACCCCGCATTCACTATATCCGCTCTCCCCGGACCCCGCATTCACTATATCCGCTCTCCCCGGACCCCGCATTCACTATATCCGCTCTCCCCTTACCCCGCATTCACTATATTCGCTCTCCCCAGACCCCGCATTCACTATATCCGCTCTCCCCGGACCCCGCATTGACTATATCCGCTCTCCCTGGACCCCAAATTCACTATATCCCGTCTCCCCCCGGACCCGCATTCACTATATCCGCTCTCCCCGGACCCCGCATTCACTATATCCGCTCTCTCCCGGACCCCGCATTCACTATATCCGCTCTCCCCGGACCCCGCATTCACTATATCCGCTCTCCCCGGACCCCGCATTCACTATATCCGCTCTCCCCAGACCTCGCGTTCACTAAATCCGCTTTCCCCGGACCCTGCAGTCACCATATCTGCCACTTTTCTATCAGGTGATATTTAGGAGACACTGGAAGAAGGGGATGATCAGAGAAGACAGGATCAAATATTCTTTTTCCACAATACAGAGGATTAACCCCTTAGGTTACATAGTGAGTATAACAAGCCCGCTTTACTGCAAATACAAATTTACTGTTGTGGGTTTAGTAACACTTTAATAATTAATTGAACAGTACTGACTGGCAAGGCTTTAGATATCTTTTTATTACCTTTTCCTTCTATATAAAGTTCCATTACCTTGTTACGCAGGTCTTTTGACAGTTCTTTTCTGCTCCCCATGGCTCAGTATCTAGCCTGCTCAGTGCATCCATGTGAGAGCTAACAAACTTTACGTCAAGCAGTATCTGGCTAGCAAGGTAAAGCACTGAAGCACCAGAGAGCAGTAGAGAGGAACTAAATACCCTCCCAGCAGCCAGCACCAGGTGGAGACTGATTACTGGGATCTGGTGTCTGCCACAGTGCCACCAGCAGGTGATCCAGGTCCTGACAGGGGGAGTGACGTTCCTCTTTAAGAACCCCAGTTGGTAGTCACAACTACTTGACTCTCTTTAGTTTTCGTAGCTCCAGCTTCCCCCGATCGGTCCTACTGGATATATATAAGTCCTAAGCAGACAGACAATCTGATTGATGTCTTTACCCTCCAGGTGGTTGTGAAATGAGTAACCTCACCGATGCCGTCACGATTTCTCTCCGACATTTGGTGAACGGGTCCGACCCGCTCCCAGCCCACTGGAACTTCAGAGCCTTGGAAGGGTATGGAGGATGGAGCTCCGAGGGGTGCCAAGTGTTGGCGGAGGAGACAAACATAACCAGCATGCAATGCCTACAACTCAACAACTTCGCCATCCTGACGGTGAGAGAAGACAACCCGCCCCCGTTGTTGTTTGGACGTCCATCATGGATGTTACGATGGATGGTGGATGGATGGTGGAGGACGAGGCTTTCATTTTTTTTTTGGCATTTTTGTCCCAACAGGAGCTGAACACTTTCCCGCCGTCTACTCAGAATGGCACGGAGCTTCTCCATCCCGTCATCTACACCTGCACAGCCGTGCTTCTGATCTGTCTTTTCACAACTATCATCACCTACATTGTCAACCACAGGTGGGTGCCGTGGGGTGTCACCAAGGTGTCACCAAGTTCACATAGCATGTGTAGAATAAAATTCACCGTGATTGGACCAAATGTACGTCATAGAGCCCAACATTGGGTTCCCACTGGATAATCACTGTGCCCTGATCACTGCCCTCCACTTCTGACGGGTCACAGCAGGGGTCTCCAAACTGCGGCCCTTTGCTTGCCTTTATCCAGCCCTCGCGGCACTATTCGCCCTACTGCTTCCAGTGACACCAACATGGGGGCACTATCCTTCCCACCCACACCAATAATGCGGCACTATTTCTCCTACTGATAAGAGGCACTATCCTTCCCACTGACAACAACAAAGGGGCACTACTTCTCCTGCTGATACCAATGATAGGGCACTACTCCTCCCACTGACACCAGTGATGGGACACTATTCCTCCCACTGACACCAGTGATGGGGCACTATTCCTCCCACTGATACCAATGATGGGGCACTAATCCTTCCACTGACACCAATGATGGGGCACTATTCCTCCCACTGACACCAATGATGGGACACTATTCCTCCCACTAACACCAATGATGGGGCACTATTCCTCCCACTGATACCAATGATGGGGCACTATTCCTCCCACTGACACCAATGATTGGGCACTATTTCCTCCCACTGACACCAATGATGGGGCACTATTCCTTCCACTGACACCAACGATGGAGCACTATTCCTCCCACTGACACCAATGATGGGGCACTGCAATTCCTCCCACTGATACCAATGATGGGGAACTATTCCTCCCACTGACACCAATGATGGGGCACTATTCCTCCCACTGATACCAATGATGGAGCACTATTCCTCCCACTGACACCATGGATGGGGCACTATTCCTCCCACTGATACCAATGATGGAGCACTATTCCTCCCACTGACACCATGGATGGGGCACTATTCCTCCCACTGACACCAATGATGGGGCACTATTCCTCCCACTGACACCAATGATGGGGCACTATTCCTCCCACTGACACCAATGATGGGGCACTATTCCTCCCACTGACACCAATGATGTGGCACTATTCCTCCCACTGACACCAATGATGGGGCACTATTCCTCCCACTGACACCAATGATGGGGCACTATTCCTCCCACTGACACCAATGATGGGGCACTATTCCTCCCACTGACACCATGGATGGGGCACTATTCCTCCCACTGATACCAATGATGGAGCACTATTCCTCCCACTGACACCATGCAATATTACCTCTCACTGATGGGGCACTATTCCTCCCACTGACACCAATGATGGGGCACTATTCCTCCCACTGACACCAATGATGGGGGCACTATTCCTCCCACTGACACCAATGATGGGGCACTATTCCTTCCACTGACACCAATGATGGAGCACAATTCCTTCTGCTGACCACAGATGCTATATCATTTTTTTTTAATCCCAAATGACCGCCATGCCTGAGGCATTGTATATTCCCACTAATCCTGGGACATTTTCAATTCCCATTGGCCACAATCTACATAGTTGAAGGTAAGTCTAAAGGAAATTGGACAGCAAATTGCATCGTGTATGACCAGTGTATTGAGGAATTTGTATTTGTCTCCTAGCTCCATCCAGATCTCGCGGAAGGGCTGGCACATGCTCCTCAATCTCTGCTTCCACATCGCCATGACCTCAGCGGTGTTTGCCGGAGGAATCACGCTCAGCGGATATCTGATTGTGTGCCAGGCTGTAAGTGTAAGAGTTGTAACATGTACAGCGCCTTGAAAAAGTCTTCACACCCCTTGAAATGTTCCCCATGTTATCGTGTTACAACCAAAACCGTCAATGTATTTTACTGAGATTTTATGTGATGGGGGCGAGTTATTCTTGCCCAGGGGCCCCGTTTTTGCTCTCTCCACCACTGGATGGACTCTTCACCATCATTGAACATCACCCTATATACCCTACAGCGCCTTGAAAAAGTCTTCACACCCCTTGAAATTTTCCACATTTTGCCATTTTACAACCAAAAAACCGTCAATGTATTTATTGGGATTGGATGTGATGGACCGACACAAAGTGGCACATAATTGTGAAGTGGAAGGAAAATGAGAAATGGTTTCCAACATTTGTGACCAATAAATCTGTGATCAGTGTGGCGGCATTTGTATTCGGCCCCCCGGAGTCAATACTCTGTAGGGTATATAGGGTGATGTTCATTGATGGTGAAGAGTCCATCCAGTGGTGGAGGGGTGCAAATACAACCCTTAGGCTCTCTGATCATATACACTATATTGCCAAAAGTATTGATTGGCCGGCCTTTCCACACACATGACCTTTAATGGTCCCCCAGTCTTAGTCCGTAGGGTTCAATATTGAGTTGGCCCCGCCCCTTTCCACACACATGACCTTTAATGGTCCCCCAGTCTTAGTCCGTAGGGTTCAATATTGAGTTGGCCCCGCCCCTTCCCACACACATGACCTTTAATGGCCCCCAGTCTTAGTCCGTAGGGTTCAATACTGAGTTGGCCCCGCCCTTTGCAGCTATAACAGCTTCAACTCTTCTGGGAAGGCCGTCCACAAGGTTTAGGAGGGTGTCTATGGGAAGGTTGGACCATTCTTCCAGAAGCACATTTGTCAGGTCAGGCACTGATGTCGGGGGAGGAGGCCTGGCTCGCAGTCTCCACTCTAATTCATCCCAAAGGTGTTCTATGGGGTTGAGGTCAGGACTCTGTGCAGGCCAGTCAAGTTCCTCCACCCCAAACTGGCTCCTCCATGTCTTTATGGACCTTGCTTTGTGCACTGGTGGGCAGTCATGTTGGAATAGGAAGGGGCCATCCCTAAAATGTTCCCTCAAAGTTGGGAGCATGAAATTGTCCAAAATGTCGCCTTAAGAGTTCCCTGCACTGGAACTAGGGGGCCAAGCCCACCCCTGAAAATAAACCCCACACCATAATCCCCCCTCCACCAAGCTTTACACTTGGCACAATGCAGTCAGGCAAGTACCGTTCTCCTGGCAACCACCAAACCCAGACACATCCATCGGATTTCCAGACACAGAAGCGTGATTGGTCACTCCAGGGAACACATCTCCCCTGTTCTAGAGTCCAGTGGTGGCGTGCTTTACACCACGGCATCAAACGCTTTGCATTGCACTTGGTGATGGAAGGCTTGGATGCAGCTGCTCGGCCATGGAAACCCATTCCATGAAGCTCTCTATGCACTGTTGTTGGGCTCATCTGAAGGCCACACCAAGTTTGGAGGTCTTTAGCTATTGACTCTGCAGACAGTTGGTGATTTCTGCGCACTGTGCGCTTCAGCATGCGCTGACCCCGCCCTGTCATGTGACGTGGCCTACCACTTGGTGGCTGAGTGGCTGTTGTTCCCAGTTGCTTCCACTTTGTTATAATCCCACTAACAGTTGAGCGTGGAATATTTAGTAGCCAGGAAATGTCACGGATGGACTTATTGCCCAGGTGGCCACCTATCACGGGACCACGCTTGGAGTCACTGAGCTCCTGAGAGCGACCCATTCTTTCACCAATGTTTGTAGAAGCAGTCTGCATGCCTAGGGGCTTGATTGTATACACCTGTGTCCATGGAGGGGATTGGAACACCTGAATCACATGATGTGGAGGGGATTGGAACACCTGAATCACATGATTGGGAGGGGATTGGAACACCTGAATCACATGATTGGGAGGGGATTGGAACACCTGAATCACATGATATGGAAGGGATTGGAACACCTGAATCACATGATTTGGAGGGGATTGGAACACCTGAATCACATGATTTGGAGGGGGGAGGCAATACGTTCGGCAATATAGTGTATGTGCATGCATCAACGAGCATGCACTCCAGCACATGGTACATGTTCATATGTATGTACGGTATGTATTCCTGACACCGCCATTCACTTATGCCCTTGAGGACACAACACATAAATGCTACATTGTCCATAATAAGAGCAGGCACTTTTTTGGGGGAATGAGGTTCATCACAGGCCCATGTAAAGTGAACGGGCTGCTTCAATGCAATACTGTATGTATAATAACTGCACACATTAATTTGCACATGGGGGACCCTTTAGCCCTACTAGTAGAATGGGCCCCTAAACACCAGAGGGCCTTTGTGTGAGTATACAATGCCCTGACTTATGTACTATACAAGGTTCCCACCAGAAGGACTTGTCACCAGACTCTTGTGTTTGCTCTCAGGTCAGCGTCATCCTGCATTACTCGTCACTGTCCACCCTCCTATGGATGGTCCTGAAGGCCAGAGTCATCTATAGGGAGCTGACCCATAAACCCCAACCCCAGCAGGAAGGAGAGGCCGTCCAGACCCCCAATAGACCTATGCTCAGGTAAGTAGCCATCATGGCCGCCGATGGCTTCCTCTTCATACCACTGCTTTGCACCTGCACTGTTATAGCAGCACCCCATGATGGCTTTTGGAGATGTTCTGATGCTTTCTCCTGTGATGCTTCTCTTTTTGTTAAACCTCTATTAATGATGTAGAGGACGGGTGTCAAACTGGCGGCCCTCCAGCTGTTGACAAAACTACGAGTCCCATGAGGCATTGCAAGATTGACCGTTACAAGCACGACTCCCAAAGGCATGATGGGACTTGTAGTTTTGGGACAGTTGGAGGGCCACCAGTTTGACACCCTTGGTCTCGGATATGGAATACAGAGTTAATTCAACTGGAAATTACTTGTAAAGCAATTTCAATCGAGATTAACCTCTTCACGCCGAGCGTACTCAAATCTGTGACCCATAAAAAAATAATATCTGAAGATATATATTTTTTAAAATATATTCTTCAGATTTTTTTTAACATATAAAAAAGTTATTTTAACATATTTTTACATATCTTGGTAAATGCGTTCCAAAAATGTAGATCTGTATTTTTAAAGACATGCAGTATATTTGAAATGTATTTTTAAAAAATATTTTTCATGTATTTTGTAATAAAAACGCATTTCAACATGCAATGTGTATATATATATATATATATATATATATATGTATATATATATAAATAAATATATATATATATATGTATATATATATATATAGATATATATATAAATAAATATAGATATACAGATATAAATATATATATATAAATAAATAAATATATATATATATATATATATATATATATATATATATATATATATATAAAATATAAATAAATATATATTTATATATATATATATATATTTATATATAAATAAATATATATATTTATATATAAATAAATAAATATATATATTTATATATAAATAAATATATATATTTATATATAAATAAATAAATATATATATTTATATATAAATAAATATATATATATATATATTAATAAATAAATATATATATTTATATATAAATAAATATACATATATATATATATACAGTCATGGCCGAAATTGTTGGCACCCTTGATATTTCTCCAGGAAATCATGTATTTCTCACGAAACGTATTGCATTAACACATGTTTTGCTATACACATGTTTATTCCCTTTGTGTGTATTGGGACAAAACAAAAAAAGGGAGGAAAGAAAGCAAATTTGACATAATGTCACACAAACCTCCAAAAATGGGCTGGACAAAAGTATTGGCACCCTTTCACAACTGCGGATAAATAAGAATGTTACAAGCATGTGATGCTCCTGTAAACTCACCTGGGGCAAGTAACAGGTGTGGGCAATATAGAAATCACACCTGAAAGCAGATAAAAAGGAGAGACGTTCACTTAACCTTTGCATTGTGTGTCTGTCTGTGCCACACTAAGCATGGACAACAGAAAGAGGAGACGAGAACTGTCTGAGGACCTGAGAACCAAAATTGTGGCAAAATATCAACAATCTCAAGGTTACAAGTCCATCTCCAGAGAACTAGATTTGCCTTTGTCCACAGTGCGCAACATTATCAAGAAGTTTGCAACCCATGGCACTGTAGCTAATCTCCCTGGTCGTGGACGGATGAGGAAAATTGATGAAAGATTGCAACGCAGAATAGTCCGGATGGTGGATAAGCAGCCCCAAACATGTTCCAAAGACATTCAAGCTGTCCTGCAGGCTCAGGGAGCATCAGTGTCAGCGCGAACTATCCGTCGACATTTAAATGAAATGAAACGCTATGGCAGGAGACCCAGGAGGACCCCACTGCTGACACAGAGACATAAAAAAGCAAGACTACAGTTTGCCAAAATGTACTTGAGTAAGCCAAAAGCCTTCTGGGAAAACGTCTTGTGGACAGATGAGACCAAGATAGAGCTTTTCGGTAAAGCACATCATTCTACTGTTTACCGAAAACGGAATGAGGTCTACAAAGAACAAAACACAGTACCTACGGTAAAATATGGTGGAGGTTCAATGATGTTTTGGGGTTGTTTTGCTGCCTCTGGCACTGGGTGCCTTGACTGTGTGCAAGGCATCATGAAATCTGAGGATTACCAAAGGATTTTGGGTCGCACTGTAGGGCCCAGTGTCAGAAAGCTGGGTTTGCGTCCAAGATCCTGGGTCTTCCAGCAGGACAATGACCCCAAACATACGTCAAAAAGCACTCAGAAATGGATGGCAAAGAAGCGCTGGAGAGTTCTGAAGTGGCCAGCAATGAGCCCAGATCTAAATCCCATTGAACACCTGTGGAGAGATCTTAAAATTGCTGTTGGGAAAAGGTGTCCTTCCAATAAGAGAGACCTGGAGCTGTTTGCAAAGGAAGAGTGGTCCAAAATTCCGGGTGAGAGGTGTCAGAAGCTTATTGATGGTTATAGGAAGCGACTGATTTCAGTTATGTTTTCCAAAGGGTGTGCAACCAAATATTAAGTTAAGGGTGCCAATACTTTTGTCCAGCCCATTTTTGGGGTTTTGTGTGACATTATGTCATATTTGCTTTTCTGCCTCTGTTTTATATTTGTTCCAATACATACAAAGGGAATAAACATGTGTATAGCAAAACATGTGTTAATGCAATACCTTTTTTGTGTGAAATACTTGATTTTCAGGAAAAATATCAAGGGTGCCAACAATTTCGGCCATGACTGTATATATATATATAAAAATAAATATATATATATATTTTTTTTATTATATTGAATATGGCCAAAATTGTAGCATTTCAAATGTATGGCAATATATTTGGGAAGAATATTTTTAAAATATATTTTTCTTCCATATGGGGTGTTTTGAATGCTTTTAAGTGCAGAGGAGGGATCTGGGATCTCAGGTTCGGTTCACATCTGTGCGGGTGGTGCCGCTGTGGATCCGCACCAAAATCCGTGCAGCTGCACCACCCGCACAGAGGAATGCGGACCCGCGGGCGGGTGTATTAGTTCTAATGGTACGCTGCCAGCACTGGAAAACGCAATTGTACTGGGAACCTCGGCTGCGTTTTCAGAAGAAGTGCCGGGACTTCTCTGCGTGTCCCGGGGCACGGGAGTCCATTCAAATGAATGGGCTTTCGTGTCCGCGCAAAACGCGGCCCGCACGGCCGCATATATGTGAACCGGGGGTCACAGACCCCCACATCTCTCCATAAAGAGTAACTGTCACATGTTTATTGCTGTCACAAGGGATAAGCAGTAAAAGTGCTAAAAAGAAAAAAAAATTAACGAGTGAAAAAAAATCAAATCAAAAAACTGTAATAATTAAAGAAAAAGTAAAGTGCCCCTGCCCCCCTGTGCTCACACGCAAAGGCGAACGTACGCATCGGCCCCGCACGCACACAAACAGCGAATGTATCATACCTGTGAGGTATCGCCGCGAATATCAGATCCTGGCCAGTCATTCCAGCACCGGACCTCCTCTGTCAAAGTGATCACCTATAAAGGCTTTTAAAGCATCACCTATGGATAGTAAAATTTACGTTGCTTGTCGCGGTTTGCACGAGGCGTGTGCAATTTTAAAGCGTGACATGTTTGATAAAATTTGAAAAATTATTCTACGCCGAGTAAATAGATACCAAACAGTTGGGTTATATATGGTGTTATTTGGCATTCATATTCAAAAAAATTTATTTTTTCCCAAAAAAGTGCAATTGAAAAACCGATGCGCAAATACCGTGCAATATAAAAAAAATCACGACAACCACCACTTTATTCTGTAGGGCCTCTGCTTTAAAAAAAAAAAACAAATATATATATATGTTTGGGGGTTCTAAGTCATTTTCAGGCAAGAAAAGTGAAAAAAAATTGTCAGTTTGTCGCCATTTGCACGGGCGTGCGCAGTTTTAAAGCGGGACGTGTTTGGTATCTATTTACTCGGCGTAACATCATCTTTCACAATGTTATCAAACAGTTGGGTTATATATCCTGTTATTTGGCATTCACATTAAAAAAAATATATTTTTCCCAAAAATTGTGTATGAAAATGTTTGGGGGTTCTAAGTCATTTTCAAACAAGAACAAAATTAAAAAAAATTGTCAGTTTGTCGCCATTTGCACAAGCGTCCGCAATTTTGAAGCAGGACATGTTTGGTATCTATTTACTCGGCGTAACATCATCTTTTATATTTTACCATCAAATTGGGTTATGTAGTGTGTTTTGTGCACAAAAAAAATTCTAAAAAGTGTATTTTTTGCCCAAAATGTGATTTGAAAAAATTGCTGCGCAAATACCGTGTAACCTAAAAAAAATGCAAAAACCACCAATTTATTCTCTAGGGACTTGGCTTAAAAAAAAAATATAATGTTTGGGGATTCTAAGACAATTTATAGCAATAAAAAAAAATAGTGATTTTAACAAAAATTTCCAGAAATGGCCTGGAGTGGAAGTGGATAGAAAGAGTCGATCCAGGATTGCTGCATTTATTATTATTATACAGTATTTATAAAGCGCCGATAGTTCGCTCAGCGCTGTACATTACAAAGGGGGACAGAACATGTGACAGAACAATACCAATACAATGTGATACATGAGGGGATCGAGGGCCCTGCTCTTTGGAGCTTACAATCTAGGAGGGAGGGGATGGTGGTACAGGAGGAGATAGCTGTGGGGGATGGAGTGGTAGGAAAGAGTGGAGGAGGTCGGGAAGTTAGCAGGGGGTGGGGTAGGCTTCCCTGAAGAGGTGGGTTTTCAGGGTGCGCCTAAAGGAGAGGAGAGTAGGTGATAGTCTGATGGATTGGGGTAGGGAGTTCCAGAGTATGGGTGATGCCCTGGAGAAGTCCTGGAGGCGGGCATGGGAGGAGGAGACCAGGGAACTAGAGAGAAGGAGGTCTTGTGAGGAGCGGAGTGTGCGTGTTGGGCGGTAC